CATGAAACAAAAAATATCAAAAGTTAAAACCTATTGAAAAAAATATATTTGAAACAACAGAAATCCAATAAATAAATATTTGAAAATATGAGTGTTTCATAATTAGGATTTTAAAATTATTAAAAATATATAACAATTAGATCCCTATATTTTTAAAGTATTTACTTAATTTGTTTCCAAATTAAAAATCGTGTTTCCGTCGGGTTTTCAAAATAGAAACGACGGTTCCATCGCGTTTCTAAATTAATATTTTTTAAAAACGTGTTTCCATCCCATTTCTCATTTCAAAACGTTTTCGAAATAGAAAACAAACTTTCGTTGGAGTTTCCATGCAACCTAGCCGCTTACACTATTTTTTCTGTCCATCTCCATTCGAAATTTCAATGAAATTTTTAAACTAATAAGTTCATTAATCTAAAAGCTTATTAAATTAGTATCTTATAACGATGCCCTCTTATTAGCTGTTTTCGCCTAAATGCTCAAATTTTAGTTTCATACTCTAATGATGTTTGTTCCGACGAGACAACAACGACCAAAGTAACTGTAACCGTACACCAATCACACTCGTACTAGTCTTTTGTCTTTTGCTTTCCATAAGAATTTTATTATGATAATTTTCCAAACTATTTTCTATCAAATATTCACAGAATAACCGGAAAAGTAATAATGATTTTGTCTTCATAATAATTCTAGAAAGATATGATTTTGTCTTTATACATTGGTCGGCAGCACATAAATAAATAAAAAACTCATTTGATTTCTTAAATTTAGTAATATTACTGTCACTAATTTAATTAACAAATATTTTACTTAATACACCAGAATAAAAAAAAAAAATTCAAAAATACCATTTTAAGTGTTATTTTACAGAAAATGCCACATTTTTAATATTTTTACAAAAATACCACTTTTTAAAAATTATTTTTTCTTTATATTATAAGAAATTTCAAAAATGCCACTTTTCAAGTGCCACTTTACAAAAATGCCACATTTTTGAAATCTTTACAAAAATGTCACTTTTTCAAAATTATTTTTTCTTTATATTATTTATGTTTGGGTTAATTATGTTCTATTAGGGTTTAGTTTTGAGTGTTTAGGGAGTTTTCGGTGTCAAAACATTTTTTAGGGTTTAGAATTTTAAGATATAGGCTTTATAAATC